TATTTGATATTAGGATGCTTCTCCTGCTTTTCACTGAAGCCATTTGCTTGAAATCTCATTTTCCACCCTTTCACCTTGAGTGTATATTTGTCTTTGGAGCTGAGATGTGTTTCCTGGAGGCAACATATGGTTAAGTTTTGTTTTTTGATTCAATGTGCAGATCTGTGCCTTTTTATTAGTGAATTCAATCCATTTACATTTAGGGTGATTATTGAAGTATGAAGTCTTCTTATTTTATCTTTTTCTTTCTGGTAGTTTGGTGTTTCCATTGCTTCCTTGTCCTTGTGTTGTTTTCTTTATTTTGGTTGGCTTTTGTGGGTTTTCCTTCTGGTTCCTCTTGTTTTATGTTATATACTTTGGTTCTGAATCTTTGGCGTGTGGTTACCATTATGAATATGTAAATATAGTTATATATATTCAGTCATCCATTTTCTTCTGCATGTACTTTATCTCCATTCCCCTTTGTGAATTTGGATCTTTGAATCTCTTCCTTTTCAGTCATTGTTATCTCAATTTGTTTTTATGTATGCTGAATGTTCATTACTATCTTGTTATAACAATTCTCTTCTTATTATTTAAGCTTATAATGCTCTGTTCTTAGTAAGGGTTGCACTCCTTTGCTTCTATTTCCCTGATAGTCACTTTATTCCTAATTATGTACTCTTTTGCTCATTTTGTTTTTGGTGAACTGACGCTTTTCAGTATTTCCTGTAGTGTAGGCCTTGTACTGGAGAATTCCTTCAATTTTTGTATGCCTGGAAAGGTCTTTATTTCTCCTTCATATCTAAAGGAGAGCTTAGCTGGATAAATTATTCTAGGTTGGAAGTTTCTTTCACTTAATAGCTTAAATATTTGATTCTATTCCTTTCTGGCTTGCATGGTTTGCTCTGAGAAGTCCAAGGATAATCTAATGGGTTTTTCTTTATAAGTTACCATTTTTTTCTCTTTGGCTGCCTTGAGAATTCTGTTTTTTGTCGTTGAGTTTTGATAATTTTAATATAATGTGTCTTCGTAAAGGACTTTTGCGGTTGAGATAATTGGGTGTTGTGTTGACTTCATGAATTCCGAGCTCCAGCTCATTCCTTAGATTTGGGAAATTGTCATCCA